GTGCTCACACTTGGGAGGCTTGTACTTTATCTAGTGAGCCATCTCCCAGCCTGTAATCAAATTTTAAAAGGGAAAAGCCTGTTGCCTTCCATGTGAGTTGGAATAGGAAGAGCAGGTGCCACCAGCCTCGCCTCAGTCGCAGTAGGGGACTCTGCGGGAGGATCCCACAGAACTCCAGGCTGGCTGAGACAATGGGCTTGTCCTTAGCTCTCTTCTCTCTTCCTCTAGACATGAGCTGCTTCTGAGATCTCCTCCTACTCTGAGAGACAGAGACAATCACCCAATGTATTGTAACTAGAGCTGGCGTGTATGTTACAATGTATTGTAAGTAGAGCTGGCATATATGTGACTAAGGAGACCCAGTATCAAAAGGGACAAGGTCTCTTACTTGTTTGGCTGGTATCAAGGTCAGTGAAGTGAAGGTAAATTGAAGGAAGAGAGAGTGATTCCACTTCAACAAAACTGTCAAGCTCTGTGCAGAAGTGAAATACGGGTTTGGCAGTTTAGGGGCACAGAGCATAATTTATCTGGATTTTCTGAAAGCCTTTGATAAAGAACACCTGACAACTGGCTTTTGAACGCTAAGGCCAAAAGCTCCAGTATAAAATACATCATTAAGAATGACACAAAGGGAGGCTGAGGGGCAGCGAACAGATTCTGTACTGCAATCAGCATGTTCACAAGACTGCTTTCTTCAGTTCCTTACCCCATGCCAAACAACATACTGTGGATGCTGAAGAGGCAATGGGTGGGCGAGTGGAGGGGATACAGGAAAGGGCTACAGGTTACAGAAACTAAATCCCTCATTGTGGCTAAATAAGAAACATCTGCCCACTCTGCTGTCCCTTCCCACAGCAAGGATAAACATTTCTGTATAAGCCTGGTTAGAGAGAGAATGTAGCAAACCTCAGCGTTTACTGAGCACTTACTATGTAACACTAACTTTAATACAATGATCATTAAATTTCATGAGCAATGGGAAAGCTAAGATCTAAGGGAGTGTAGACATGGGAGCAGTTAAGTCTGCCTGCTGGTGTTATGGGGATGTTGCAGCAACTCAATCCTGACTGTATATTGGAACCACTCAGGGAGTCTCTGGAAATCACTGCAGCCTGGGCCCCCGATCCTGGGCAATTAAATCAGAACTGTTTAGTTCAGGCCTGGGCCTTGGTATTTCTGTAAGGCTCCCTGGGCAACTGTGATGTGCAGCCAAGGTTACAGTGTGCACAGTGGATGATATTTAAATGTCATCTTAAAAGAACATTGAGTTACAGGAGATGGGTTAGAAGATGCAGCTATAGGTGGAAAGAACAATAGCAAACTGAAGCAGCACACTGAGCACACTGGAGCACGGAGGTGCTGCCAACCAGGAGAGGTCTGTGTGGTTGACAAGTGTGGGCATGTTGGGGGAGGGGTGGAAAGGGACAGGAGAGATTGCCTGGCTGAGAGAACCACCAGTTCAAAAGCTGGCTTTGAGAATGTGCTGATCCCCTAGCAACTTCTATAACCACTGCTTCTGGATTCTCCTCTATCCTGTGAATAGAGTGCATGTTATAAGACTATCATGCTTTACTATTTGTAAAAGATGTAAACCTTCACACATTGACATAATATGGAATATAATTATTCAACAATCATATCATAAACAGAACAATGCCCTTTATATATGGTCTTTCATTATTATTTCCAAAACTCTAATTCAGAACTCTATTACTTTGTCTAAATCTTCTAAATTAACTTAGAATTTTTTGAAATAAAAAACCATATAGGGTCTCAGGGCTACAACTCAGTGGTAAAGAGCTTGACTAGTGTGTGTAAAGCCCTAGGTTCAGTCCCCAGCACTGGAAATAAAGGAAAGCTGGAAGGTAGAAGCAGCAATCATAGTCCCGTGACTCAGAATGTTCAAACAAAAACTATCCTATTTCATTATTCTGGTACAGATGCTATGTGCTCATTCTGATGATCCCACCAACTAGGAAACATGGAGATAAAGTTGAAAAAACCACACCAAATTTCATTAGAAGACCCATCCTACTTGGTGTCCTTATAAGGATTGATATACTGATGGATAATAATAGTATGTATATTACATTATTAAATTTAATTTGACATGAATTTAATAGAGAAAGGGTCTGAGTTTAAAACATCAAATTATGTTATTATTATTATTATTATTATTATTATTATTACTTTGAGAGTTTCACGTAGCTTATGCTGGCCTTGAACTTGCTATGCAATTATGGATGACCTTGAACTTCTTGCTGGAGATACAGTCAAGTGCTATTATGCCCAGTTATGTGGTGCTTGAGATTGAATTTGGGTTTGTGTATGCTAGGCAAGCACCAATAAATTATTAAACCTTAGCAAATATTCCTCTACCCCAGAATTCGTCTGAAGTAAAGAAGTTTCCTTTACTGATTAGCAATTGTTTTTTCTTTCTTCCTTTCTTTCTTTCTTTCTTTCTTTCTTTCTTTCTTTCTTTCTTTCTTTCTTTCTTTCTTTCTTTCTTCTTTCTTTCTTTCTTTTCTTCCTTCCTTTCTTTCTTTTTTTTTTATTTTTGAGACAGGCTGTCTCTGTGTAGTCCTAGCTGTCCTGGAACTCCATCTATAGATCAGGCTGGTCTCAAACTCATAGAGACCTGCCTGCCTCTGCCTTCCAAGTGCTGGGATTAAAGGTGTGCGCAACCACTGACAAGAAGCAATTGTTTTTTCTTTAGGGAGCAGAACAGTAGACTTTTCAGGCATATGAGCTCTATACAGGTTGACTATATAATGGAAAAGTAGCATTGACAGCATGTAAACAATGGGGTGAAGCTGACTGCTGAGGTCTGAATGTCTGTGTGGTGGTATTGTGTTCCCTGAAATATTGTGCACCCTAATAAACTTATCTGGGGTCAGAGACAGAACAGCCACAATATTAAACATAGAGGATAGGCAGTGGTAGCACACGCCTTTAATCCCAGCACTTGGGAGGCAGAGCTAGGCAGAAATCCATGTGTTCAAGGATACAGCCAAGCATGATGACTCATGCCTTTAATCCCAGAAAGTGAGCCTTTAATCCCAGGGAGTGATGGTAGAAAGCAGAAAGATATATAAGGCGTGAGGACCAGGAACTAGAGGCATTTGGCCTGGTTCAGCATTTGGCTGGTTAAGCTTTTAGCTGGTTAAGCTTCAGGCTTTCAAGCAGCAGTTCAGCTGAGAGCCACTGGGATGAGGACACAGAAGCTTCCAGTCTGAGGAAACAAGACCAGCTGAGAAGTTGGCCAGGTGAGGTGGGCTGTGGTTTGTTCTGCATCTCTGACCTTCCAGCATTCACCCCAATAACTGGCCTCAGGTTTTATTTCATTAATAAGAACTTTTAAGTTTCCTGCTACATGTGTATGCTCCAGAGATGCTGAAGGGAGATGACTAGGTCATGAGGATGGAGCCTTCAGGTATGGGATTAGGGCCTTTATGGAAATGGTCCCGTAAACTGGCCTTTCCTTCCCACCATGTGAGAAACAGTAAGAAAGTGCCCTCCAGAGTCAGAAAGCAGGGCCTTCACCAGACACCAAATCTAAGAACCCTGACTTTGAACTTCTCAGTCAACACACATAAGAAATCTGTTTCTGTTGTTAGGAGCCATCAACTCTATGGCATTTTGTTAATGATTGAATGGACCAAGATTCCATGTTCCAGTGAAACTTTATTCACAGGAACAGGTGGCTAACCCTTAGGCAATGGTTTGTAGACTTGTGTTGTACAGCTGAATAAAGCTAATTATGAAAATGCTAAACTTTTCTAGCCTGAGTTTTTATCATGGATAGTACAGCCTAACTTCAGAAGAAGAGGCATCAGAGCTCTTGCTAGGCCCACTTCCTTTCTTTCCCCTCTCAATTTCAGAGTATTTTTACATTGTCTAGACTTACAACATCCACATTGTACTCTGACACTACAGACACCAGTGTTTGCTATCATGTAAGTGGCTCCGTCAACAGTCATTTTCATGGCCCCTCTAGACCACCTTGAGCCATCAAACGGCTCTATTCAGCAAGTGTTCATGGGTATCTTACTCCTTCAGGTGTGAATTAAATCTGGGCCTATTATTTCTGATTTCAAAACTGTCGATACCACACCATTGTCCTTCATTGTAAACACTGTAAAAATCTAATGCCAGCATGAATTCTCACTCTTTATAGGTGATTCCTTACTTCCTGGACGTTGAAACACTTTCCATCTTTAAAGTTGAGGCATTTCACTGAATTAAGTTATGTTAAATATTCTAAGTTGGCTTTTCTGAGGTTCAGAGTTTCCTTTCCACTAGTACTCTGTTCCTTTTTTAAGAACTTTTTTCTTATATCAGTGAACATCTCTTTCATTTGCTGGTTTGGGGAACACCAAGTATCTTTCCATATTGCTCATCTTTGCCTTTCATATTATGGTACCTATTTGTTCTCTAGGGCCTGTCTTCTTTTCAAACATGACATTCCAATTTTAGCTGAGCACATGGCTCCAGTTATAGATAACATTTCTCAATATCCCCTGTGACTAAATGGGGCATATGACCAAATTCATGCCAATCAGATGTGCATGGTCCATTGAGGGCACCTCCGCAGAAGACTTTCTCTAGAGTCTCTGCACCCCTCCCATAAGCTGATATGTCAGGGGGCAGCTTCCACCATGGGAAAGAGACTGTCCTGTAACCAGTGAAACAAGGAGACAGGAGAAACAGCATCTTGGGTGGCCACATGGAGCGCAGCCAGACTTGGGTTCTCCATGGTGAATTGTTATGTAAATGAGAAATAAACTTACTTGAGTCATTGCCCCCCCTCAACTGCAGCAGTATAGTTTGTACCAGAGCAGTGTGCACATCAGTTAGCATCTAATTCATTCCTTTTGTCTTGTTCCTGTGCAATGCTGTGTTTACAGGCTCTCCTCCACGTCAGTATTTCAGTAGTGTCTCTTCTCTGCCTTCTATTTATAGTTTATTTATTAGTCCCATAAAGTATTTTGGTATTCAATTTGTTTCTTATGTCTGCAGTCTCCCTTTTTGTTTCATTCTGCTATTTTATCATCTTGTGTTGGAGCTCTAGTTTTATTTAATTTATGTTATCAAGCTGTGCTATTTATTACATGAAGAAATTATGAAAAATCCTTATGTTCTTGACTTATGATTGTTTTTAGACTCTGTCTTTTGTGGCCTAGAGTTCTCTCTCCTCCACCCACTTTCCTTTTGTTAGCTGTGGGTAAGGTATGAACATGCAGAACACACTGCAACCATAGCCCTCCTGGGCACGGCACTACTCACATCAGACAGTTCGCTCGCCCAGTTGTCCTGCCTGCTACAGTGAGGTACCTTCTTCCCCACTTTCTGGTACTCATATGTGACATGAGAAAATGCCACCCTCTGTCCTGTTCTCTCCACTGACGCTTGTTCCATTTACTCAGCAGGGCTTCTTGTGGAAACCTGAGCAAAACCCATCTTAAATTTGCTCAGGCTATCCCAGTTTTGGGGAGGGAGAAGTGAGATTTTTGTTCCACTTTTTAAACTTGAGTGGTCTCAATTATTTCAAACTTTGTATGTAAACCAAGAACTTCACTATTATTTAACTAAATTATGATATTCTGAATTTATCTAATCCAACTTCATATAAAATTCAGCCCCACTGTCTTCCAAAAGGCTAGTATAAAGAATCAGTGAGTACAAATATGGAAAGATAGGCCATCATTTTTTTTCACACCAGAAATGTGTGTGTGTGTGTGTATGTGTGTGTGCGTGTGCGCGCGCGCACGCATGCGTGCACGCACATAACATTGTTTGGATATATAACATTTACTTTTTAAAGGTACAAGTCATAAGGTCATCTTTTGACCTTTTACCAAGTAAACAGTGTGAACAGCAGTGTCCCTGAGACACAGAATTTCCAGCCCACTGGAGCCTCTCAGCCAAGCCTGCCACAGCAGAGGAAACCACCACCAGCCATCTACTGTCTTTTGCTCCAGAAATCCACATGAATGGTTAGTGAGATTTCATTCTTCTGTGTCTAGAAATCCACATGCATGGCTGGTGAGATTTCATTCTTCTGTGTCGTCCCTTCTCCTCAGAATTGATGGTGGGTTGAGCTTCTGTCCATTTTAAGTTTTAAGTTATACTTATAAAAGTAACTGTACAGTTTGAGCCCCCAAACTGTACAGTTTGTTTAATACGTTCCTTCTCCATTCTCTCCATCCTTAGGCCTGCCTTTAACTTCTGTCACTCATAGGCAAGGTTAAAGGAAACCTCTCTTGGAAAATCACCTCTGGACTCTTTCCCTTCTGTTAGTATGTTTAACATACATGGAAGAATCTGTACACTATTCCCAAGGCATTCCTTAATCAGAGCTCACTTGCTTCTGACTTACTCTCTCGTGACTGCAGAAAGAGAATTTAAAAAAAAAAGCCAGGCAATGGTGGCACATGCCTTTAATTCCAGCACTTGGGAAGCAGAGCCAAGTGGATCTCTGTGAGTTCAAGGCCAGCCTGGTCTACAGCATGAGATCCAGGACAGGCACCAAAGCTACACCGAGAAACCCTGTCTTGAGAAAACAACAACAACAACAAAAACAAACAAACAAACAAAAACACTTAGGGCAGCTATGTGGCTCAGTGTTTGGATCACTTGCCATCAGTCCCAATGCCCTGAGTTTGATCCCCAGGACCCATAGGAAGGTGGAGAGAGAGAATTTGCACACACCACTCGAGAGAAATACAAGAATAATAAATAAAAACTTAAAAACTCATGGTTAACTAGAAAATAACAAGTAACATAGACACATTAGCAACAATTCTTTTTATAAAGATAAAGCTTGGCAAGACTAAACAGTGACCTAGTTATCCTTGAAACATCAGAGCACCTTACAACTAACTCTCCTGAAGATGACAGCTATAAACTCCAGACACGGTCTACAAGGCTGTGTGATGGTATCAGTAGAAGCTGAAAACAGGCAGAAACTAGAAAAGCGCTGCATTTCCAAGAAGGAACTACGCCAGTTCAAATTCATGCATGTGTGATTTCTGACCCAGATGTACTTCTCAGAAGCCTGAGAGAGAAAGGGTGGCAGAGAACTGATAAGGAGTCACAGTCTGCCTAACATGAGAAGTTAGAGCATGGAGTTCCCAACTAACACAACCAGGAGGAATGTTAGACATAAAGAATTGGAAAGGGCCAAACTTGGTAAATAAATGTCATATAAATATTTGGTCCACCTCTGAGCCACACACATATGGAAGAGATTCTGAGGAACTCTAGAAAAGAAGAAAGAAATAGTTGAAGACTTTCAAAGACAGAGCAAAGTATTCAGCTGCTACCCCCACAAGAACAGAATTTGGAGTTTAGGATTTAAATGTAGCCAAATAAATTGTTTACTAGAATTATAATAGAAATTAGAGAACAAAGTAGCAGAATTTAAGCACATCATTTATAATGTACATAACAATAAGTTACTATATGTGAAAAGAAATAAGACAAAACAGTCCAGAGAGAGTCAAGAGAGAAAAAGTACAAGGTTTCTTTTAATAACACTAATTTCTGAAAAAAATACAGCTACTTCCTCTGAAGCCACCTGTGTCCACCTTAAACCAAGTTCAAGTTCATTTCCTCAGCAACCCGCACATTTTCCACGTCCTTTGCTCCATACTCTGCTCTTTCTTGCTGTAAATCTGGCTAGAGTAGTGAGCAGTAACTGTGCCACAGCTTGGATGCGACAGTCTTGAAATGTCCTCTGCCAAACAACTTAGTCCACGGCTTCCAAATTCAACCCCAGTCAAAATTTCAAGACACAGACAGGGCATAGTCAGATTCTAGCAGAATGTAACACTGATGGCCTTTAATGCATTTCCCAGAACAGGCATTGCTCCACTCTGAAACCTCAGAGGGCACAGCCTTTTGCTATGGTAAGCATTTCTGTGTGCGTTCTGATCCCCTACATTCCTACCACACTTGTGCACCATATATATGCAGGGCATGTCTATACAATGTAAGAATCTGTATCCACTTCCAGTAAAATGTGACTTCGGAGGAAAAATATGTAATAAAGTCTATAGCTTTTTTCCCATTAGAGTTAAATCCAGTACTTAAGCAAGCTGTCCCCAAGTGTGCTTGTTGGCTGTGACTCCAGGTGGCCTAATGACAAAAAAAAAAAAAAAAAAAAAACCAGCTTGAATCTCTTCAGCCTGTGTTTCCCAATTTTATGGGACAATTAAATGCTCCTCTGTAGGAATATGTATTCCATGGAACATTATTATTCCAAGGGATTAACAGTCTTGGGAATGTCGTTTGTAAAGAGGGTTGTTCTAGTAACAGGATTAATGCCCAGATGACAAGTATATTGCTGTAATTTGCTAATCTTTGGTGTCCTGCAAAGTTAAGAAGAGGTCACACCTTGGTTTAACAAAAGACTTTTCTTCACAGGAGCTTGGTACCCACTGGACAGCTTCCAAATGGACACAAACTAAGGAAACTCGGGGGTACTTCTGTTGCTGTTTCTCCCGCTAGCCGTGATTGTATTTTCCTGGCACGCCAACAGAAAGGTCCAGTCGGCAAAGCAATCGCTGGGGAAAACTGCTGCCTGTTTGACCTGTGTGCCCATGGCATCTCCGACAAGAGGGAAGGCCTGCACCGGGGACCACACATGGAAAAGCGAGTGTCAAAGTAGCCCTGCCTGGTAAGACTGCAAGTTTATCACTCATCATTCCCATTGCTGCTCTTTATTCCCTTGCTGCAGAGCACTGTGCCAGTCTGTAGGCATCCTTGTTTAAACACTGGCTGGGGTCATAAGTGAAATGAAGTTTGGTCCTCATTTACCTCATGCCAGCAGTTGGGTTGGTACACAGCTGCAGAACTGCTGGGGTCCTTTTTATTTAATTTGGCATCCCTTCCTGAGCAGTACTGAGACTTTGCTTCAATGACTCCACTGGGCTTTGCCATAATTTCTGCATAACATCAGAAAAGGCTGTGAAGGGATGCCTGGGCAACCCTGAAGGGCCTGCACTTACCAAGCAGGTGCTTTGGCTGAAGTCAACAGAGAGTTAAACTCAGATGCAAATCAAAGCAATATAAAAAGATACTGACTAAATTTAGCAGTGAAATGGACTTTAAGGAATAGAATTTGACCATCTTAACACCACGTGCAGGCCTAAGGGTTTGTCCTTTTGTAGTTTCTCTTAGAATAGCTTTCCTAACATCTGAACAGTATTGTCAAAACAAAAGACACCTCAGGCTCTGAGAGAGTCCTCCTTATTGTGTGGGTTGGTCTTACGGCTGACGCAGTGCAGTCCTGTTTCTGACATGTAAAGTGAAGTCCAAGGATGATACATGGAAACAGGTAAGAGTGATGGGGACAGCAGGCATGATGCAGCATGCAGGAAATGCACCAGTGAATGCATCAACCCCTTCAGCAAAGTTGCCCTTTGCAGGGTTGAGGATGGGCAGTGTTGGGGGGAGGGGGCTCCCTGGTCTTGCTAACAGCCTGCCTAGCCAGTCAGTGAGTGACTCTTTCTCAAAAAGTAAGGTGGGAAAGCAAGTGAGGAAGACAACCGACACCAGCCTCTGGCTCCACATGCACCCTATGTCACCACACACGTGGGAACCCGCATACATGTACACCCCCAAACATGCCCACTCCCATGTGTTCACATGAACACGTCCACAAATGATTTCTGCAGTCAGAATAGAAGACAGTTTCCCTGGGTCTGCTTTTCTGTTTCCCATGTCATGGGTTGATGTTCCCAAATGAGGAGGGAAGGATACCAAGGAAGTAGATCGGTCAGTGTCAGAACTATGAGGTCAGGCCCAGAGAGTACCCGAGACATGGCCTGATTCCAGAGCCCAAGTCACAGATGGACAGTGCCTAAGGAGAAGAAATAATCTGTCCAGAAATCACAGACATTCAGGACAGATCCAGTACTGGAGCCAGTATAAACACCGGCTTTTAAGTTGGAAAAGTTTTATTTTTTAGAATTTTCTAATTTTTTCTTTCCTTAAAAAACATTTCAATTTAATCCACCCAGAGTTTTCTTTGGTACAAGGTGCAAGGCTAGGATTTGACTCACTGCTGTTTTTAAACCTTTCTCCAAGCCACTGGTGGCTCTGCTGGCAAGCCCTCCTCTCCCTGCTGGTTTCCAGTGCCTCCTTTACCACACAGAGGGCAATGTCTGTGCTCACTTTTCTATTCCACTGATCTGTTGATTTCTATCCATAGAGTGTCTTCATAATTACTGTAATCCTATCATGTTTTAGTAAGTGGTATGAAAAGTCCACTTTCATTAATCTTCCTTCAGGGAATGAGGTCTTTTGCCCATTTATTCCTCACAATAATAAACATTGGCAGGTTGAAAAGAATTAACATTTCACTCAAGCAAAATAAAACTCCTATGAATTTTCATCGGAATTGCATTAGATATGAAGATTAATGTTGAGAGAACCGCCCTGTGTACCGCAGGCATTTCTCCTGTTGTCGCGGGAATACGGTGTCGCATTCCACTTCTTCAAGTTTTCTTAGACGTGGCTCCTTCAAGTTTTGGAGCTCTGCTCACAAAGTTCCTGCACTGTCTGTTTTAGCATCTTTTCTTGGTACATTTGTGCTTGACATGAGAGAAAAGAGAGAAGGGGGGATAGAGGGAGGGAGAACAAAGCTACTAAAATGTTTCTAATATCTGTTCTGCCTTGCCTAGGGCTGAGGTCATGCGGCCTGTTGTCTTTTTACCATTGGATCTGCCATATTTCTTCAATGTGAAAATGTGTCGTAATCAGAAAATCATGTATCAGGGGCTGGGGGCAGGGCTTAGTGACTAAGAGCACATATTGCTCTTCCAGAGCATCCAAGTTTAGGTCTTAGCACCCACGTCAGGAGGTTCACAGATGCCTATAACTCCAGCTCCAAGGGGTCCAATGCACCTGCACTCACACACACACACACACACACACACACACACACACACACACACACACTTAGTAAAGTAAAAATCTTTAAAAGAAAATCATGTACTAGAATAACCAAAGCCTTGCGTTTGCTTCTTAATGTCAACCGCTATGTTGAGCACCTGGGCTCTGGGCTCACTCCCAAAGAGCAAATCCTAGGATTATGCTACAGCCACCTAAGGAAAGTGGTATGCAGAGCTGGAAGCTGGGAGAGGAGAAATACCATGTAAAACGTGCCTGTGAAACTAGACCCTCCCCACCTCTTCACTTCTCTGTGGAAGCCATCCTAGTCAGATGTTCGAGTTGATTATATTAAGTTAATCATTCAGTGAGTACTAAGTCTGCATAAGTGCTCTGCAAAGACCATAGAGGATAGGAAAGTGGGAAAAATGGCTCCTGCTTGTCGGGAGGACCAGCAAGAGGAAAGGATGAAAGGCCCTTTTCAGTCAAATCACTAATTCATTAGAGCATGCCGTGCTGATCTAGGCACAGGAAAATTCATTCTACCTAAGAGACCTGGGCAGATTTCAATTTTTGTGTGCATGTGTACGTGTGTATGTACGTGTGTGTGTGTGTGTGTGTGTGTGTGTGTGTGTGTGTGTGTGTGCGTGCACGCGCGCCATAGCATGTAGGTAAAGGTCTGAGAGCAACTCATGGAAGTCAGTCCTCTCCTACTGCCCTATAGGATCCAGGGATGGTGCTACAGGCCTGTACCCAAGCACCTCCTCTTGATGAACCATCTGCCCGGTCCTAGCAGGCCCTGGAGGATATTTTTATGATCTAAAAGAGGAGGATATTTTTATGATCTAAAAGAGGAACATTCTACAAAAGGAGTCAAAAGAAGTTCATGACATTCCATTACTTCAATTAAGCTAATATAGACTACCTCAACCACACAGATCTCAAACCAGTTGTTACTCAGTCATTAGCCAAATCAGCAGCATGTTTTGGTCTGACCAGGCTGGGCATCATGCTCCTGCCCTTAGGAGGTTTGTAGTCTAGACAGGAAAGTTCCATGGAAAGGTATCAGTTCCTCTTATCCCATGTCTTGAGTTAATTTAACTCTTTCACTGCTGTCCCAGACAAAAGTAGAGAAACATCTTTATCAGACATTTTCTTAAGCTCATACAGGGTCTGAGAACATCTCGATGCAGCCACTGTCCATGTCTCGGTCCTTCAGCAGTTGAACATGGAGGAAGGAGAAGCTATAGTCTGAGTCTTGGGAAACATGGGGAGAGAAGCAACATTGCTTACCAAGAGATCGCTCTCAAGAACCCTCTCTGGCATTGTACCTTTCTCATTATCCTTTTGATTCCAAAGGCTTTTTGCATTCTTCGGTGTAGTACTGAGGGAGGGAGCGCAGACTAGCAACAGCAATGTGTCAGTGCTGCCCCAACTCTAGTGTTAAACAGAAACGATGCTTGACTGACGTGGCCAGCTCTGTGCAGAAGTGATTTAAGTAACAGCCCCCCTCTCCCAGGAGGAATGTGGTCAGATCAGGGTTCTCAAAGATACAGGAGATCAGCTGAAAGCCCATGGTCTTTTAGGGAAGGGAAAGTAGCTGCACTAGTGTGAATGAGAAATGTCCCCATCAGCTCATGCATTTGAACACTTGGTCCCCTGGTGGTGGTGCTGTTTGGGGAGGTTCTGGAACTCTTAGGAGGTGCAGCCCAGCTGGAGGACGCACATCCCTGGAAGTGGGCTCTGGGTGTTACAGCTTCACCCTGCTTTCAGTTAGCTCTCTCTGCTCCTGTGTGTGGTAGAGAGGTTGAGATGTGATCTCTCGGCTTGCAGCTCCTGCCACCAGATATTATGGACTCTCCCTCTGGAACCATAAGCCAAAACCAACTCTAAGTCGATTTTGTCATGGTATTTTATCACAGCAACAGAAAAGTGACTAATACAGAGGCCAACAGGGAAGCAATGGCCAAAAGCACAGGCTCTGACGTTAGAAAGGATGCTGATCTGTCTTTCTCCCACTTATTAATGATATTCCTGGATCAAGTAATGTACTTAATTTCTTGAAGCTAAAACTTCTTCTTGAAAATCTTTGAATTTAATTTTAGTTTACATATATGGGTGTTTTGCCTGCATGTATGTCTATGCAGCATGTGTGTGTCTGGTTCCCAAAGAAGCCAGGAGAGAGCATCAGATCCCCTGGAACTGGATTTACAGAGTGCTGTAAGCCACCATGTGGGTTCTGGGAATTGAACCTTGGCCCTCTGGAAGAGCGGGCAGTACTCTTAACTGGCTGAGCTATCTCCCCAGCCCCAAGCTGAAGATTCTTAACCAGTTCAACGGTGACACCATCACTCATCCCACAGGGATTGCTGTCATATAAGGAGCTCAGCACAACACAGTTCACACAGTCAATCCAAGCAGATTGTAGCTACTTACTGTCAAAAGCCAAGTCAGAGTCAGATTCCGTGTCCACATAGCGCCTGCTTTCCAGGGGTGGATTCATATCCCTCTGGCAGCTGAAGCTCCACAGATGTGCACTTCGAAATGTACACATGTGATGCTGCTCACTGTGAAGGGCCTCTAACCCGTGGTCCTTCTGTCAGCTTCCTTGCTCACTGGGCAGCCTTCTGACCGGGCTTTCTGAGTGGCTTCTAATAAGGGTAGTCTAGGCTCAGGCTGAACGTTTAATCTGTTTGACCATTGTACCTTAAAGTAGCATTCCATTCATGGTGTCAATGAGATGATATATTTAGGCAAAATAAAATTCTAATCCTGTAAGTTAAG